AAAAAAAAAAAAAAAAAAAAAAAAAAAAAAAAAAAAAATTCAAATACCAAAACAAAACCTTATAATAGGTCTCAGGAATGGTTGATTTCTTCTACATGTTGTCTTTTTTGTGATTAAGCTTCACTTGTTTAGGAACATAATAACATGTAAGTTGGGAATTACAGAAATTTAAAAAAATGGCAAAAAATCAAAGAAGTGTTAAATATAAATTAAAAATGACACAACATGTCACTTTTCCTTCACGATGTCGATAAACAAGAATTTGACAAAATCACGTGGCAAGGAGTTTGTCCTTTATCTTCACGTTTACATTTGAAAATTGCAAACACAAAATAAAATTAGCTCTTAATAGTGATCGCAGACAAGGATGCAATATTTTCTTGCTGTCTACCACTCATCTTATTGCATCTGAATAGTTGTTGCCAAAGGGTGCTCACATTTGATAAAGTCCACCATTGCAAGAAACTTATAACATATTATAAGAAAAAATCAATTATTGAAAACAGTTGTATCCATCATTACTAAGTGAAGGTAACTCATTGTTGCTCGCATTTGATAGAGTCCACCATTACAAGAAACAACAAGATAACCATTGTTCTTATAGGCCCTTACAAGTAATGCAAACCAAGTTCAATAATGACTCCAAAATCAAAACATATTATGTAAAGATCGTGCATCAGATCTTCCCTTTGAACCATGTAGTGATGGTATCCTTTGCGAAAGCCTCCAACACCGTCGTCATAACCATGCCAGCCAGTAGGTAAGGCTCCTGTACCACCATTGGGTGAGGAGAGTTGAGATTTACAGTGTAATTTTGTTATCCAATCAATTAATAATTAACATGTCATCAAGAATTAACAAATTATCTCCAATTTCCTCTCATTAATTTCATCATCAACCTACTAAATTGATGACATAATTATAATTAACGGTCAATTGGATAGCAAAATTGAAAAATAGGGCTTAATTCTGGTGAGGAGGGTTTCTCTTTGGGAGTTGTCTAGAATCAGGAATCTGATTTGAGATTTGGGTTTGTGGGAGTTTAGAACATATCATTTACGCGATTAAATGTATTAATCAATTAATAGGGTATTATTCAAATTTCTTAATTTTTTTGTGGTAGTGGGCCTAGTTTTCCCGTGGAAGTTTTCCTGGGAGTCCTATCCACACATCGTAATGGAAGATCTACAGGGAGGAAAACCACATCACAAATGTATGGCTCAAGTGTGTATAAACTGTGACCGCAACCGAATGTACCTGGGTGGTGAACCGGGGGGAAGACCGCAACTCCTAAGAATTAGTCAGGCGAAATTTGAACACCTAAGTTATCAAAAAAAAAAGAAAAAGTAATATATGTAAAAATATGAAAAATACACAAATGAAGTATTTTTAGAATTTTAAAGAAAAGTAAGTGCAGCAGGCTAATAAACGTGGAATTAAATTCCTCTTCGGAGACTTGTCGAGGGGTAAAGGACTAAGCTGCTGTTTTTTTCATCCGGACATTGAACTCAAACCACTTTTGCCTGCATTTATGATATATTCCATGTGAAAATTTCTATCCTTAATTTTGTTCAAATTTATTGTTGGCCTAGTTTGATAAGATATTAGATTAAGGCCCTGTTTGGTTTTAATAAAAGATAATTTTTTAGTAAATTCTGATCAAAGTTGATGAAATGTCTAGTTAATAATTTGTGAATCCCATAAAATGTATGATTAAAATTAATGTTGACATAAATTTAATTTTTTATCAGCATTTATGATGCACCAAACTAGGAGGTAAAACGTTAAATCAATTTTCAAGCGATAAAAAAAATAGATAATTACTCATTTCAAGGAGTGTATTCAATTAAAACTTTTTAAGATTTAAAAGGTTTAATGGTATTTAATATAGACATTTTAAAACTCTCTATAAGTATTGGTGTATTTAATAGACTTTACTTTTAAAAGATTTTTATAAGAATGTATAGGGTACTAGCTTTTAAGCATAAAGTATAAAAGTAAAATGTCAAAATTTGTCTTTTATTCACCTCAAATTCTGAGAGGCTTTCACAAAATTATTTTTTTAATATGTATTTTTTTTTTCAATATTTCTCTTTTCTTTCCATTTTATGAACTACAGAGCCATGATTAAAAAAAATTATTTTTCCCCTACCTATTATATTTGTTTCTATTTTCTTTTTTACTCCTCTCTCTCTCTCTCCCTCCC